CGGAAGAAGCAGGTAGATGCACGAGAGTAAAGCATGAAGGAGAGCGAAGCGCTAGCGGCAGCCGGCGGAGGGGCTAGTGTGGAGCCGAGGTTGAACAAGGCAGATGGTCCTACGCTTGACGCAGCAAGGGAGCCTAGACTACACACAGTGGACACACCTACGCTAGGCAATACCGGGTAATAGGGTCCAATCATACTACAGTCATCAGCATACATGACAGACATAGCATTCCTAATCTGATCCATGTCAAGCTCAAAGAATGGCACACGATGGTGAGCCAGATTGTACCATTCCGTAGGGTTCGATGCATGACCAAAGCGTTGGCGGAACAGGTCGTCCACGTGGCGATAGCGGCGGTCGGCGGTATGGCCAGGCCGGAGGCTGACAGTGCCGCGGCGAGGGCCGGTCTGAAGTTGGTTCCTGGCAGGTGACTGCGCTGGAGCTGCCACCCGACACCGAGCTGCGCCCGCCCCCCCCACGACCACCGCCGCTAGCGCCGCCAGTCCACCACGGCGGCGGGGGTCCCCACGGCAGTTGCTGCTGCTGCGACGACTGTGGCGGCAGCTGCAGCGGTTGTGGCTGCTGAGTCTGCTGCTGCTGCTGCTGAGGCTGCGTCTGCTGCTGCGGCTGCTCCGAGGCACCAGCCCCGGTCCCCTCGTCTGAACCACTGTCCCCGCCCTCACCGCCGCCACCCTTCTCACTACCACCCCCCTTCCCCCCACCACGCCCCCCCTTGGGGCGGCGACCCTTACCCAGACGCCTCTGCGCTGAGGCCGCAGCAGCCGTCTCAGCAACAGCAGCAGAGATGTCAGAGTACAGGCTCTGGGAGAGAGCACTGCGGCGATACATACAGTGGCGGAAACAATTGTCCGTATGTTTTGCATAAATTTGGGTTTTTAGGCTTTAAGACCACTAAACATTAAGCCTTCATGTTTAATGGTGGTACGATTTGGGAGGGGCACAGCGTGGATGTGTTCATAGCACAAATATCCAGAATAGTATATTGGATCTAACTCATATCCCAAAAGATATACAAAGGGTACATCCGGACAAATATTTCCAAGCAGAGAAAGCAAACTTCATAATTGCGTATTTGGTACATAGCCCACTGACCTTTGGCCTTGATCACCACCCGCACCCTCCTAGGCATATTACCTACGAGGTTAGTACAAACCTCAGCAGGGAACTTCTTGCACTCGTCCTGGACCCACCATTTAGCATAAGGGGGTGAGTACTAGGAAAATCGCGAAAAAGTTGGGCGTAGACTAGAGTATTGTGGACGAATTTGGATTGAATGGTATCTTTGAGACTAGCCATGCTGAGGTGTGGCCGAAGATGCAATCAGCCAGTCGGGCCCATCTTATCATGGATCGTCTTCATCGTACCATTGTATGGTAAAATCACGAATACAGTAGAGCGGCCAAATCTAGCGCAAACACCACGAAACTGAGGGTAACGATGCACGGTTGAGTATGCACCCTTGCACCATTAAAAACACACTAGGGTCTGCGGGTCTAGTCACGGTGCACCAGTCATAGAAGCCAAGACACTTCTGGAAATTTATCAGGGGCCGGCTGCAATTCGTGGAGTCGCATGCTGAGTGGACAATTAGTGTTTGAAATCGTGTGATCTGGTCAAATGGGACCAACATCAACTGCTTCAGCTCCTATGGCCGCGCGTTTGCCTGGATTCGTGAAGGCACAACCCTTCAACGCCACCAAATCAAACAGACGGTAAACCATGGGGACAAGGATCGGTGATGGTGTGGGGATGTGTGACATGTGCTGGGGTGGGGTTTATACGCAAGATTGACGGACACATGGAGAGGCCCCTGTATGAGGGCATTTTGCATTTCGAACTCGAATTGAACCTCCATTTTTATAGCATTTTCCCATCTGAAGTCATCTCGGTGCAGTTAATGACCCCAAGAATTTGTTATGCCTAGTGCATGAATGACTTGGAGAACATGAGTATGTAGCCCTGGAGTGGCCTTCTTTCTCACCAAACCTCAACCTCTGGGCTTAGTTGAAAAGGGAACTGGCCAAGCAGAAAAGGCCTTCCTCTAGAATGCTAGAGCTTTAAGAGTTGGTCCAGGAAGAATGGGAGAAGATCCATGCCGAGGTTTGCTCTAGCCTCATCGACAGCTCGCCTAGGAGGGTGCGGGCGGTGATCAAGGCTAAAGGTCGGTGGGCTAGGAACTAGAAACACAATTTTGAAGTTTGCCCTCCCTGCTTGGAACTATTTGTCCGGATGTACCCTTTCTATATCTTTTGGGATATGAGTTAGATCCAATGTATTATTCTTGATATTTATGCTATGAACACATCCAGTATGTGCCCCTCCCAAATCGTACCACCATTAAACATGAAGGCTTGATGTTTAATGGTCTTAAAGCCTAAAAACCCAAATTTATGCAAAACATACGGACAATTGATTCCGCCACTGTATGTATCGCCGCAGTACCGCTAGGCTGAGCGATACTGCACTGGTGGGTGTCTATCTCAGACAGGGCAGTGACAAAGGCGGTGAGAGTGAGGTCACCCGGGTGCTGACTAAGGAAGTGGTCGCGGGCTGTGGCTAGGCGGTCAGGGAGGCGCGTGGCGATGAGAGAAAGGGTAGCGCAGAATGGCGGCGGGAAGGCAGTAAGCTATGCCTAGCAACGCGGTAGCTTGTCTCAAGCGTGCAGAGGTGCGTGGCAAAGTCGGCGAAAGTGGGGAAGGACGCAAGATAAGGGAATAGCATGGGAAGGATCAAGCGACCAGCAGAGGCAGTGGCGGTGATGGAATAGTGCGCAATGACAGCATCTAAGAAGGCTTAGGCGTTTGCTACAGTGGTAAAGCGAGGACGCTCAGACAGCGGGAGCGCACGAGTGATAGCAAGCTGGGCGACAGCGTTGTGCGAGTCCCTGACGGCACGATCAAGCGCAGCAGCGGAAAATGCCTCACGCTCAGCAGTGGTGGGGGCATCAGGGAGGGCAGCAGGGACAGGGGGGCGGGGAAGCAGGCCATCGACATGAATAGCCAAGGAGTGATTGTCCTGGCGCTGACTTGTAAGGTGACGCCGAAGGTCGACGAGCCACGCTCAAAGTCGAGCGCCCGACCCTTTGCGTCCAGCCGGAGCTGTGACTCCGCCATTGCCACTGCTGCAGCTACGGACGGCCATTGGCAAAGTGAGGAGGACAGGTGGAGGAAGCAGTGGAGAGTGGTGGAGTGTGGTGAAGAGCGATGGAGTGCGGTGTAGTGCGGTGGAGTGCGGTGTAGTACGGTGGAGTGCGGTGGAGAGGGGTGGAGAGCAGTGGAGACAGCCGGCAGGGGAACCGGCGCTGAAGGGAGCTAGAGCCGGTGGGTCGGCGCTGGGACTCGACGGTTTGGCGGCTGGCCGCTGAAGCGTGGGTCGGCGAGGCTGGAGACGGCTGGTTGGGGCGCTAAAGGGGCCGGTAGGGCTCGAACGGACCGGCGGGGCGCTAATGGGCCGGTGGGGTGATCGGGGCCGGTGGGGCGAGCGGGGCCAGAGGGGCGCATGGGGCCGTCGGGGCGCGAATGGGGCCGTCAAGGCGCTAACGGGCCGGCGGGGCGCTAACGAGCTGGCGGGGCGAGCAGGGCCAGAGGGGTGCATGGGGCTGGCAAGGCGCTAATGGACCGGCGGGGCGCTAACGGGCCGGTGGGCGAGCGGGGCCAGAGGGTCGCACGGGGCCGTCGGGGCGCGAACGGGGCCGTCAAGGCGCTAACGGGCCGGCGGGGCGCTAGCAAGCTGGCGGGGCGAGCAGGGCCAGAGGGGTGCATGGGGCTGGCGGGGCGCTAACGGGCCGGCGGGGCGCTAACGGGCCGGTGGGGCACGAACGGGCCGGCGGGGCACTAACGGGCCGGCGGGGTGCTAGCGGGCCGGCGGGGTGAGCAGGGCGAGAGGGGCGCACTAGCCGGCGGGGCGCTAACGGACCGGCGGGGCGCTAGCGGGCCGGTGGGGGCGAGCAGGGCCAGAGGGGGCGCACAGGGCCGACGGGGCTCTAACGGGGCCGGCCGGCGCTAACGGGCCAGAGGGGGCCGACGGGGCGCTAACGGGGCGCTAACGGGGCGCTAAGGGGTGGCTAGGAGCGGGCGGCTAGGACTAGGACGAGAGCGGAAGCGTGGGTGGGCGGGGAGGACCTAACCTAGCGCATGATACCATCTCAGAGTAGAAAGAATGACTAGAATGAGGCATACAGGTTGATTTTGTTCAAGTGGTTGTACCCTCTAAGAGCATGCACCTATCTAGCCTATTATAACGTATACAAATATGTTTGACAGTAAACTCCCCAGTCAAGATTTTGACCAATCAAGTACCTTCGCCTAGGCCCCAAATTAGCCGGGTAAATTGCCCTGATTGCCCTGATTTTTTATGGCATTTTTGCATTTGGTCTTAAAAATCGAACTTACGAAATTTTATTACCCTGATCCAAAAAGTGTTACGAAAATATTACCGTAACGAAAACAGGGTTGCGGGGCCCCGCACCCTGACCCTTCAGGGTGTCCTGAAAACTACACTGGTACCGAAACTCTGAGATTCTGACTAAGTCCTTGGCGGCTATAAAATTTTCCCCCTCAACACCCTGCAACCCGAAAAAATCGACTAAGTCCCTGGCGGCCAAAGTCATTCCTCCCACACACCATGCAAACCAGCAATTTCGGCCAAGTCATTGTAGCCATAGACATAACTCCCTCACCCCCTCACAACCCAGAAATGGCTAAGTCCCCCACAAGAGACATGCCTCCCACCCACACCCCCGCTACACCTGGCGTCCAGTGAATCGCCCATTCATTAGATACTAGGTGTCCATTTATTGGCCTATTGGTCCAAACGCACGTGCAACGGCCCAATCGACGCATGCCCAAAGCTCTGCAACAGTTATCGAATCTGATAAGGAGACCTCCAAACGTGCAGACGGGACGTTCTCAAACCTTACACTGCTGTGCAAGGAACTCAAAACAAACAACAATGGTCATCCAATTTAGACTAGAAAATGCCTACGAGTTAACCGTATATTGGCCCAATTTGCCCGTGAAAGTTAGGCGCTCGATTTTGGAGCACCCGCCCGAAAAAAAACAGGGTCTGAAAAGGACTTCATGTGTGTGTGTGTGTTTTTCTCTTCTCCTTCTTCTTCTTCTTCTTCTTCTTCTTCTTCTTCTTCTTCTTCTTCTTCTTCTTCTTCTTCTTCTTCTTCTTCTTCTTCTTCTTCTTCTTCTTCTTCTTCTTCTTCTTCTTCTTCTTCTTCTTCTTCTTCTTCTTCTTCTTCTTCTTCTTCTTCTTTTTCCACTAAGTCCTCCAAACCACAGCAACACATGTCACGTCGCATACGCCCTTCCGACACCCAACCAATCACGAGAAGGTGGTTTTTTTTCCCGCCCCTCTGCCGACCTTGTAAATCTGATTCCCCTCTCACGTTCCAGAATCGTTTTCCATCCCATCCCCCAATCTCGCCCCACATACGCAAATCCGCTATATACTACACTTCTTTTGACACCTCAGTTCTGCTTACTTCATTCCTATCAAATGTTTCTTAAATGGCCAAGACTTGATTTAAAAAAAAAAAAAAAAAAAAAATTACTCTGACCGTCAGGGTAATTGTTCAACCTACTCTGATTTCTAAGAGTGGCCTAAAACCAATTTTGGGCCCTGCCTTCGCAGTGTGTGTAACCTCAGTTTCGGGAAAAAACGCCCCAAAATCATTAGATTTCATCTTTCTAAAGCCTGAAGCACGCGACACATAATTGCGGACTCGGGCTTTAAAAAGCAGATAATCGATTTTTTTGCCAGGATCTGTCAAACATATTTGTATATGTTGATGTAGACTAGATAGGAGCATGCCTTAGCGAGTACAATTTTTTAGGTCAAAACCACCATGTACTTTGTTTTCTAGTCTCATTCTACTACTCTAAAATGGTATCATAGTAGGTTAGGTCCGCCCACCCGCTTCCGCCCTCGCCCTAGCCTAGCCCCTCGCCGTTCCCTTAGCGCACCTTGCTAGCCTTAGCGCGCCCCGCTAGTCCCTAGCGCCCCGCCGGCCCTTAGCGCCCCATCGACCCCTCGCGCGATCGCTGGTCCCTTAGCGCCCCTCGTGCCCCGCCCAATGCCCTCGCGCCCCGCTAGTCCCTCCTGCTCCCTGCCTGGCCCTAGCGCCCCGCCGGCCCTTAGCGCCCCGCCGACCCCTCGCGCGCCTGCTGGTCCCTTAGTGCCCCTCGCGCCACGCCCAGCCCTCGCGCGCCCGCTGGTCCCTTATGCACCTTGCCGGCCCCTCGCGCTCCGCTGATCCCTCCTGCGCCCCGCCTGGCCCTAGCGCCCCGCCGGCCCTTAGCGCTCTGCCGACCCTTCGCACGCCCGCCGGTCCCTTTTCACCTCGCCAGCCCCTCGAGCCCCACTGGTCCCTTCCGCGCCCTGCCTGGCCTTAGCGCCCTTCCAGCCCTTAGCGCCCTGACGCCCCTTTTGAGCCCCGCCGGCCCATCGCGTCTCGTCAGCCTTCCTCGCGCTCTGCCGGCCCGTCGCGCTCTGCTGGCCCTGCGCGCCCCAGTCATCCTTCTATGTGCCCCTAGCCCTGTGAGCCCCGCTCGGCCTTCCGCTCGGTCTTCCTACCGAGGAGTTCTGCCACCGCGCTGCTATGCCGCTGTGTCAATATGCCGCTTTGTAGCTGTGCCGCTGTGTCGCTGTGCCGCCGTGGAGCTGTGTCGCTGAGGTTACACGATGGCGGACTCTGTACTCCGCCAGCACGCGGAGGGGCACGCGATCGACTTAGCGCAGCCGCGATGCCGTAGCGCAGCTAGCCATTAGTCATGCTCTTCCCCTGTCTGAGCGTCCACTCTTCACTACTGTCGCGAATGCCAAGGATTTCTTAGATGCAGTTATTGCACGCTACTCCACGCCTGCCTCCGCCTCTGCTGGTCGCCTGATACTCCCTATGATGTATCGATCATGCCGCTTTCCCCACTATAGCTGACCTAGCCACTCACCTCTGTACACTAGAGGCTAGCTACCGCGCCGCAAGCACTGCCGCCCAGCTCACTGCCTTCCCCCCGCCATTCAGCGCTACCCTGTACCTCATCGCCACTGCCCGTGACCACTTCCTTAGTCAGCACACAGGTGACCTCACCCTTACCGCCTTTGTCACCACCCTGTCTGAGATAGAGACTCGCCAGCGCACTATCGCTCAGTCAAGCGGTACTGCAGCTGTCCCTATCTTCCAGGGCTGTGCGCCCTCCCAGTGCACTTAAGCTGACGTGTCTGCAGCTGTCACCGAGAAAGCTCCTACCGCTGAGACCGTCATTGCGATCCCCGCGCAGTCGCGCCTGCGTAAGGGCCGCCGCCACAAGGGGGGGCGTGGTGGAGGTAGGGGTGGTGGAGGTGGGGGCGGGGACAGTGGTTCCGACAAGGGGACCAGGGCTGGTGCCTCGGAGCAGCAGCAGCAGCAGCAGCAACAGCCGTGGGGCCGCCTCCCGCCAGGGTGGCCCGCTACCTCTGGTGGTGTTGGCCGCTTTGGCGGCACGCGCAGCTCGGCGTCAGGATGCAGCCCCGGCGCTACGGGTTGCCAGTACCAGCTCCATACCGGCCCCCTCCGCGGCACTGTGTGTGGTCGCCCGCACCCTACCGCTCGCTGCTATCGTCGCCTCGACGACCTCTTTCGTCGCCGCTTCGGCCCGGCGCCTGACCTTCCTGACTGGTCCAGTCTGCTGCGCCACGGTGTGTCTGTCTTTGAGCTAGACATGGATCAGATTTGTGCTGCTCTGCATTCCCTGTATGCTGATGCTTCTAGTGTGTCCGAACCTTATTACCCTGTTTTGCCTAGTTTAGGTGTACCTCCTATGTGTAGTCTAGACTCCCCTGTTGTGTCAAGCGTAGGACCTTCTGCCTTGTATAGTTTTGGCTCCACGCTTGATCCTCTGTCGACCGCAACTACCGCTTCTCTCTCCTTTACGCTTGACTCTGGCGCGTCTCCCTGCTTCTTCCGCGACCACACTGCGCTCTCGTCGCTTGCCGTGCCTGCCGTTGTTGAGTTGCTGACCCCTCCTCTGGTCCTGTCGTTGCCCGTAGCTACAGTACATTGCCCTTCCCTATCCAACGGTTCCCTTAGGTTCTCTTACAGACTTGCACATCCCTTCGTTCCCCAGGTTCCAAGTTGGTGCCGGCTGTCTTCAGGACCTCAGCGACACCACTACGTCCCCTGGTCATGAGCGGTACGCTGTCTGTATCGAGGCCACCTCAAGTGCCCCCCTTGCGATGTTCCCCCGGGACCCGGTGTCTGGCCTTTTTACGCTGGACACTGCTTCCCCCTCGGTAGGCATGTCCTCCCCGGGTCCTGTGTCTACCCAGGTCGCTGCGGCCTGATCGTGTCGGTCGCTCACCCACACGTCGCTTCTGTGGCACCACCGCCTAGGCCACCGTGCACTCTTGCGTCTGCGTCACATGTCTCAGCACGGTCTCGTCCTAGGTCCCCCTGAGTCGCTACCTGCCCTCCCTCCCTCGCTTGCGCTGCCGTGCACTCCCTGCGTCAAGGGCCGGCTGCGCTGTGCCCCTCATTCCTCCTCGCTTTGCCCTACCACCGCGCCACTCTAGACCCTGCACCTAGGCGTCTGGGGCCGGCCCCCGCCCCTCTTCCACGTCGAGAGCACTCCTTTCTTGTGCTCGTTGACGACTACACGCGCTACACCACGGTGTTTCCCCTAGAGCGGAAGGCCGACGTGCCTGATGTTCGTATCCCGTGGGTGCAGCAGCGCGCCTCCACTTCCGTCAACCTTTGCTGTGTTTCCACTTCGACCATGGCAGTGAGTTCGCCTCCGGTCGGCTTGGAGAGTTCTATCATGAGGAGGGCATCACCCAGTCGTACACCCAACCGGACTCCCCACAGCAGAATGGGGTCGCTGAGCGACGCATCGGCTTGGTCATGGAGGAAGCTTGTACCTCCCGTCGCTTGTCCTGGTCGAGGAGTTGGCTGACTCTAGTGGCCCTGAGGCGCAGTTCTCGCCGCCTGTTTCTCCGCTGGTGTCTCCTCCTCCGCTGTCGCAGCAGCTGCAGTCATCGTCGTAGCTGCAACAGGAGCTGCCGCCGTTGCCGCTGCAGTAGCTGTCCGTGGACTCTGGGCGTGCGGGGTTGAGAAGGGTGCTAGTCCTTGGGTACTTATCGTGGCTTGTCCCGGCAGTCCTAGGGGTTGTCACAGGATCGAATGAGGTTTGCTCAATGTTGCACTATCCATGAGTACAAGGTGCTTTTATACTTCGAGAGTACATCAGGTAACAAGGTTTCTGGTATCCAAAGGGAATAGACCCTTCTAGAAATAGAATCACCCTGCATATAGCCACGCGAGGCTATTTGCTTTAAGGGATTACGGCAAGATTGCGCTCGATATAGCGCGCCAGTACATCCCGAGTCTGGTCGGTGATATAATTATAATAACAGGATAAACCAAAGGATAAAGGAAAATGAGGAATAGGAAACCAAATGAGATGAGATAAAGACCAAATGAATCAGGATAAAAAGAGGGATGAAATAGATAGGAAATTTGGAAAGGGGAAATTGGCGGTGTCGTACTCTCACACTTCCCCCCCTCAAAGTTGGGTGGTAGAAGAAACACCCTGCTTGACAAGGTAGTCGCGAAGAGGACGACGTGTGTTACCCATGTCAAATTCAGAGACGCAGCGTCGGAAGGATCATCACCCTTCCAGCAAAGAAAAAGCTCCAGAGTGCCATTCTGACGACGACGGTGTCCGAGCAAGTAGTTGTCCCATGGCGTGGACGGACACGGGCGGCGACGGTGGTTGGCATTCGGTGTAGAGCGTGTTTGGTCTTGATAGGGTTTAAGAAGCTGGTATGGAAAGCGTTATGGATCTTCCAAGTGGCTGGTAGGCAGAAGCGGAAGGTGACTGAAGTGACCTTTGCTTCAACGACGATAGACCCGCAGAAGCAAGGTTGAAGCTTGGATGAAAGATTGCAAATGTCGAGATTATAGTGTGGATAACTGTAGTGATGAACGGCCAAGTGCTTTTGTTGTTGGATGTTCAAGAGGCGGTTGTGTGGCCGATCTTCGGGATGGTGGACGATGGCAATGAAATCATAAGCCAGTTGGACTATAGCAAGAATTGTCTGTTGCTACGGAGTGAGCAGGCTCCGTCCACAGTAAGGAAGGATGGTGTGTATCACCGTCAGTGATATATGGGCAAGTGCAAGTCGTAGTTGGAGATTTGAGTGGTTGGAACAGTATGATGTAACGTGCAGATGAATGGCTATGTTTTCTGTTCTGTGCATGCCTGAAGATCACTTGCATCTCGTCCATGCCTGGAGATCACCAAGTGTTGGTGGTATTGCAGTCGTGT